AAGGGGCTGAACAGAGGATGAGGAGGAGTTGATATTTTCAAATACAAGTGATACAGGGCTATTACTCCACAAACCAAGAAAATGTTATTTAACAAGTTCACAGTGGTGCCAACAGGACTCCTAGCGATCAGGCCCTATGGGATCATGTGCATAGCAGCTCTGGGAATCTCCACATCTCCACCTTACTATCAGGATCCTTTGTATACAAATGCCTGCCCCAACCAGTACACACTCGCCCTCTAATGAAAGCAGAAGAGCCCCTCCTTACTCTAGGTCCCAGTCAGCTTTGTCACTTGTTGCTGCCTGGCTGCCCCTGGGCCTTGGCCTTCTGGTTCAGCATGCCACTCCTCTGAGGCCACCTTTGCCCACCCTCACCTGCTGCACTCCCAGCTCTTCTCGACCAGGAATGGGACTCAAGCTAATAACTGTTCAGGGCCTTTCCGATCCCATTGTAAGTTGCTCCTGCTATCTGCCAGCTGACACGTCCTTCCTGCTCATTCCTAAACAATGTCAGCTCCTGGCTCAGCGTCACTCTCTCCAGTTTCTTACCTGTCCTAACACTCAGCAATTTGAAAATCCATGTAGATGAACTTGTCAACACTATATAGCCTTTCACTCCTGTAAGCTGCTCTCCATCGATAACACTGTCATCCACCCTCCTTCAATCACTCATTCTGGGCTGACCATTTCACACCTGGGCCTCTGTCCTCAAACTCTAAATATGTCATCTCCTCCTCTCTCTCAGGCAGTGACTGTGGTTCCCATTTCTGAAGAAATTTCACAGACTTCCCCACCCCCATTTCTATCTAGCCATCGGAATCTGTGTCCATATAATTGGCCTGCCCATCAATTGCCATGGATGAACCATCTATATTTGTGTAAAGACAATCCTTCACTAGACTCCATCCTTCCTCACCTTCATAAGGCTATCGCTCCAGAAATTCTCCTTGCTCTCTCTTACATCACCATTTCCCCCCTCTTTTCTAAGTTATTCCTATCAGCATACAGCTATGCTTTTATTCTCTCATTTTGATAAAACCCTCCCTTGACCCAACTGATGACCGAGGTCTGTTCTGATCACTGATGTATCCGGCCCTTCTACCAGCTACTGCCCCATTTCTTCGATCCCTTTGCAGTAAAACTTTTAAAAGTAGATGACTTTACTCAGTGTCATTGATTTCTCCACTCCCATTCTCTATTAATCTTGTTATAATCAGACTTTGTTGTGGCCATTCCACTGACACTGCCCTTCTTGAAGTTATCAATGACCTTTATAGTACATAATCCAACAATCAATCACCTGCTGAAGGTTCTCAGCACCCATCAGCAGTGTCTGCACCAGCTGGTCACCTCCTTCCTGATACATGCTCTTCACTTGTTTTCCAGGACACCTCACTTTCCTGGTTTCCTCTGACCTCACCGATTGTTCCTTCTCAGACTTCTTCACTGATTTCTTCTCTTCTTACAAGCTCTTGATGTTGACATGGCCCAGGGATCAGACCCTGATTCTCTTCTCTATTTACACTTACTCCCATGTTGAGCTCATCCAGTCTCGTGGCTTTAAGGACCATCCATCTACCAATAGCTCCCAAATTTATATTTCTAGCACAGAACTCTTTCCTGAATTCCAGACTCGTAACTACCTATTCAAAATCTCCACTTGCATACATAACAGATAGATGTGGGGAAAAATGAACTCTATTTCCACCACCAGCAACTGCCCTCTAAATAAACTACTCTATCCTTAGCTTTTCCATGTAAGTTGATGATAATGCCATCCTTCCAGTGCCTCAGGGCAAAAACAAAATCACTCTTATTGCTTTGTTTTTTTTCTCATATCCTACATTCAGTGCATCAGGAAATCTTATTGGTTTTACCTTCAAAATGTATTTATAATCTTACTACCTCTCAATATCTCCAATACTACCACCCTGGTCTATGTCACCATAATCTCTTACCTAATTGGTCTTGCTTGTTGCTTCCACACTTACCTTCCTACAGTCTTTTCTCAACGTAACAGCCAGAATGATCCTTTTAATAATGAGATCATGTTATTTCTCTGTTTAAACTCCCTGGTGACTCCCTATTTCACTCAGTATGCATTCTCAACAGGAGCAATATCATCTCCAAGGGGATGAAAGCTGTTTCTTAGGGATCAGGGGGTAAAAAAAATTTTTGGATATTACAATGGTTTGTGGCCCTCCGAAGGCTGCAGTACATAAACAAATATAAGTTATGTCTATGGTATTAAACTTTTATGAGAGGGTAGCAATTAGGAAATAAAATCTAAAGAGTCTCCTAAGGGGCATAATAATGGGGGGGGTGAAAGGTTGACAACAATTAACTCAGAGGAAAAACCAAATTCCTACACAGGTGTACATCATCTGGCCTCCATTACCTCCCTGAACTTTTCTCCTACTACTCTCCCCTTGATCATTCAGTTTCAGCCACATTGGCTTTTTTGCTGATTCTCAAGTATATCAGTCATGCACATTCATACACACACACACTGAGCCTTTGTGATAGTTACCTCTGCCATGGATACTCTCTCCCAGGTTTCCTCCAGGTTGACTCCCTCACCTCCTTTCAGTCTTTGCCTGAGTCTTCTCAATGTCTCCTCAGAGAGACCTACCATGACCACCCTATTTAATACCGTAGCATGTCCCCTCTTACCTCCACACTCTGGCCCCCATTTACCTTGATGATTTTTTCCCCATATCACTTACCATCTTCTAACACACTACTTAATTTTCCTTTTATATGTATTGCTTGTTTTCTGTCCCCATCCACTAGAGTATAAGCTCCATGAGGGTAGAGATCTTTGTTCTACCCACAGCCTCTAGAACAGTGGCTGGCATAGAATCATAGCTTTCAATAATGAATGAATTCATCCCTTCTAGCCCTAGAGGAAAAACTTAAATCCTGGAAGGAATTATAACTTCAGTTGAGTGTGAATCTATAACTGGAAAAAAACTATGAGGCCAGGGCTGAGGATGTGACTCATGACCACATTATTAATTCTGCTTGGGACCCCCTCCTTAAGGTCATAAAAATAACTAGAAATTCAGGCATGTTAAAGCTGTATCTGGACCCTAGCCCAGGCAGAGAGGGACTTTTTGCCTGGGCTTCACATTCACGAAAGCCTCAAATGTAGGTTTTGAATGTTCCCTCTAAAGGGGGTTGGTTATATATTCAGTCAGAGACATGCCCACAAGAAAGGAAGGAGACTTTTCAGATTACAACTTAACTGGTGTCTCATTACAGCATCCTGCCTCACAGATTAACTTTGTAAACCTGGCAATTATTGTAAGACTGTCAAAATCATAAAGCTTTGTAATATCTCTGTGTTAAAAGCATTCATCTGTTAAATGTAACCATTTCAATCGTGCCACAATCTTGGAACCCTGTTTTTGCTTCTTTTTGGTTTTTCACATACTACTAAGTTTGAGAAATGAGGTGGCCTGAGCTTTGAGAGAGCCTGCGTATGTTAGATGGGCTTTGTCGCCTCTTGGCCACAGAGAACCAAGGAAGTGGACTCTCCAACATTACATGGGCTCCTAGCACTCACAGGCTGCCAGGCCCCAGACATTCAAATGCCTCCTCCCCTTCTGGCTCACCAGTGCTTCCCCCAAGATATGTACTTACAAAGCACATTCCTTCCCCTTTGCTCAATTATCCCATAATACTCCTGGGTGGAGGCAGGGGAAAACCAGTGGGAAAGGATTACCCACAACTACAGGCCCAGGTAAGAATGCTGCCACAGAGACCATCACAGCAAAGGGGCACCAGCCTCTCTGGGTTTCGTGGCTGTGATGGTTCATTTTATGTGTCAACTTGGCTAGGCTACGGGACCCAGTGGTTTGGTCAAACAACAGTCTAAATTATATACAATCATCAACAGACTTCCCAACCCCCACTCTGCCCTTCCTGGCTCTTAACCCTGAAACATCCATTCAACCAGCACTTTTTGAAGGGTAATAGTCATTATCTTTGGGAATAAAATGTTGAAAACATCACAGCCCTGACCCCAGTACTGCTCAGCTTGTAAGTGAGCTATGCAGGCAAACAAAGAGTAGCAGTGAAGTGCAGTAAGTGCTACACTAGAGATATGAGCCCCTTAGATCCTGGTGGGACAAAGTGTGTATGTTGGGAGGGGTCAAGTTAGGGGAAAATAAAGGAATGTGTAGTTTCCAGGCACTTCCCAAAGTCCCAACCTCCAAATATCATCAAAATAGGGATCCGGGTCAATATGTGAATTTGGGGGCGGGGACACATAAGCATTCAGACTATAGCAATTATCAATACTTTGAAACCCTTTGTATCTCTTTCTATCCCATCCCCCTCTCAATCCCAGAAGTAACCACTATTCCAATTTTTAAAAATCATTCCCTTGATCTTTCTCGTTTTGAGATAGATAGATAGATAGATAATATCTCCAATTCCAAGAAGAGTGTCTGGTACACAGAAGGTGCTCAGTAAACACTGGTTGAATGAAAGAATGAGAAACTTTGCTCACTACATGAGTAGTATGATTTGTGAAAATGAAAAATTCTGATGGCTGATGAACAGTGTCCTGTGAAGGGCTCCTCTGTATTAAGTAAAATAAAAACAGGGAATTTCTGGGGTAAACTTAAATGTAGCTTTAAAAAGTAATAATAACTGTAGTTGGCTGATGGAGCAATGGGAAAAGCATCAGACTCAGTGCCAGCAAACTTAGACTGGAATCTGGCTCTGCCACTTGCCAGCTAGTGTGCCTGTGAGCAGGGCTCAACCTCTCTTAAATTTGCACTTCCTCATCCGCAAAACGGGGATACTATTACAGCGTGGTTAATAAGAGGGATAGGTAAGTGTATGGATAAAAATGCTCTGAAGAGTAAGTTAAAGAAAATGATGCTACGAAGTGTCATCAGCATTTAAGGCCAACGGGAGCCTTTGCAAATTAAGCATCTCCACGTAATTTTGTCTCTACATCCTCCTCCCAACTTATGTTATAAACATACCTTATTTGGGGGCATCTGGTTGGTTCAGTTGGTTAGGCATCCATCTCTTGATTTTGGCTCAGGTCCCATTATCTCAGGGTCGTGGGATTGAGCCCCATGTTGGGCTCTGTGCTGAGCGTGGAGCCTCTTGGGATTCTTTCTCCCTCTGCCCCTCCTCCCCCACTCATGTGTGCGCACTCTCTCTCTCTAAAAAAAAATAAACATACTTCATTAAAAAAAAAAAGACATCCATCTTCTCTAATGAAACTTCTCAAGCAACAGTACTTAGTTTTATTTTATTGAGATGTAATTCACATACGGTAACATTCACTGCTTTAAAGTGTGCAATTCAGTGGTTTTACTACATTTACAGTCTGTGTGACTGTCATCACTCTATCATCCTAGAACATTTTCATCACCAATTAGGAGTCACTCCCCATTTCCCCCTCCCCTCAGCCCCTGGCAACCACTGATCTGCTTCTTGTTTCTATGGATTTGCCTAGTCTAGACATCTCACATAAATAGAATCCTACTCTGTGTGGCCTTGGGTATCCGATGGCTTTCACTTGGCGTAAAGTTTTCAAGGTTTATCCATGTTGTGGGACTTATCAATACTTCATTCCTTTTTACAGCCGGATGAGAGTCCGTTGTATGGATATACCACCGTTTTATTTACCTGTTGCTGAGTTTGTGGATATTTGGGTGGTTTCCGTCCTTGGGCTATTACGACTAACGCTGCTATGAACAGAGGTGTGCAAGTGTTTTGGGTGGATATGCTTCCAATTCCCTCAAGTCCATCTAGGAGTGGAGCTGCTCCTAGAATAACTCTAATTGAACCTTTCCAGGAACCGCGGATGGGCTTTCCTCAGCAGCGGCAGCATTTCACAGCCCCATCAGCACTGCACAAGGACGCCAATTCCTCCACACCTTCACCAACTAGGACTTATTATTTCTAGAATCAACCTTCAATTTACCTCACCAACACTTTCTCAGCCACACTGATATTGCGGGTCTGGAAACTATTTAAATGAAAACAAAAGTTTTCGAGGTGACACTCAGGTATTAAAGAAACGACTTCAGAGAACTGTTTCTAATTTTTCCTGGCAGAGAATATTCAGCTTCGCGGCTGCCTCGCCTGAGGGGAGGAGGCGGGGGACTCGACTCACCGTCACAACGTTCCTCACAGAATCCCGGGAGGAAAAGCCATTTTGGGAACAAATCCCCGTCTTAAAGGGATAGTTTCCTGGCGTAGGGATAAGGGTAGCCTTTGACTAGCTCTTCACGTGCATTTCACGTCACTTCACTTTATTCTCTCACTCACAGTCTCACTGGCGGGCAGTTTCGCCCAAAGGGAATGTCGGCCCCTCTGCGCGCAGGCGCACACCCTCAGCCCGCCCTCCTCCCTCCGGTCCCGCCCCTCCAGGCCCCTCCCTCCGCCGACACGCCCCCTCCCCTCGAGCTCTGGGGCTGACGCGCGGGGGGAGGGCTGTGAAGGAGCCTGCGACCAATCCGCTTGCGTCTTCGGGAAGCGGCGCTACGCACTGGTAGATTAAGGCTGATGATGTACTCGTGTTCCAATCCACACTTTGGGGGCGGGGCTAAAATCCTGAGGCGCAAAGCTGGAGGGGACCGCCTGGTGGAAGCACGTGACCTGGGTCTGGAGCCGGAAGCTACCTATCTGATAGGGAGCGCCCCCAGCACCTAAGGCTGCGATGGTGAGTGAGGACGCATGCGCGGGAGTACGCGCTAGGGGTTCTGTATCCCTGTTCCCCAATGTCTTCGGTTACCCCCACTTGGGCCTGTACTCCGCCCTTACCTCCTATCCACCCCGGACGCAGAGAGAATGGAGATGGGAGGGGAGGCGACGTAGAGGGTTGAAGAGGGGTCCGTGCGAGGGTGTATGGGAGCTGGGGAATAGTCTGCGGGGGTGGGGCGGCCCACCGGGGGAATTGGAGATGGGGCGGGGTGAGGGAAGGGAACGGTGGTGCTGCGGAGGCCAAGGGAGTCCAGGTTCAGAGGGTGAGAAGGTGGGAAGCTCGGCATGATCAGTGTTGAAGGCTTTGTAGAGGAAAGAGGGTCTGGAAGAGACCTAGCTGGGGAAAGAGGTGGGGGGGGGCTTGTCAAGGGAGACTTGGGGTTGCAAGTGAAGGGCATCTAGGGCCATCCTGGCATGCTTCTCACTAATTGCATCTTTACCCACTAGACTTCTGCACTGACCCAGGGGTTGGAGCGAATCCCAGACCAGCTTGGCTACCTGGTGCTGAGTGAAGGTGCAGTGCTGGCGGTGCGTTCTGGGCAAGGGCACATGACCCCGTGATCCCTTTTAATATCGCCCGGTTTAGCCTAAGCTGTCTGTATTCTAGGCCTTAGCTATCATGCTTGGCAGATAGTAAGCTTTCAGTAACTAATCAAATAAATCCTGGAATCATAGTCTGGTAACTTCTGAGTTAAAAGAAGTTTAATGACTTTAACAAAGACAATTACTTACAGGATTGCTGATAACTGATATTATCCAAGTTTTCTCGAATATGTCTTTATTTGGTATTTATTTAAGAGGCTTTGAATTTTGTTTCATAGTACAATATATGTTAAGCTCTCCAGAAGTTTTTAATGGAGCTGGTGAGCCAAGGCTTAAGGATAAAAGTTGAAAGCAATGCAAGTGGTAAAGACTAGTGAAGGAGACCAGAAAATGAAGGATTCAACCCTTGTGTTGTAACTTACATTATAATAAGGAGACTCTTGGAGGAGGTAAGAATTCAGCTGGGCTTAAAGGATGGATGGTTGTGAACAGGCAGAAAAGGAGAGTACTCAGGGTTGGAGTGGTGGGTTTGTGTTGAAAAGATTTGGAAAGGTTTGGAAGAAGATATGGTAAGGAAGGATCTCATTGTGGAGGACTTTCAAGGCTGGGTTGACACATTTGGGTTAATCTTGAGGGTAACGGGAGCTTTGAAGGGTTTCGAACAGAAATGTGAGCTAAGGAAATAGTTGAACAAAATTATTCTATTAGGTGTGAAGACAGCTGGAAGGGGTGGGATTCAGAAGTAGGGGGAACTGCTGCGAAAATCTAGGTATGAGACAGGTCTGGTGGCAGTGAGGAGGAGCAAGGAGAAGAGAAATTTTGAAGGAAGAATCAATGTATCTTGGTAATGACTAGAGATAGGTAATAGAGGGGATACTTCTCCATCTAGTAAGACTGAACCCAAGCCTAGAATGATGGTGCCTTAACAAACAGGAAATTAAGAAAGGAAGTTGATTGGGGAGGGGGTGAGGTAAGGAGAATTTTGATGACTTGACTTTAGACATTTTGATATAGAATGATAGCAGTTAGTATATATTGCCAGGAGCTGTTCTGAGCATCTCATCAATATCTCAGTGTAATCCTCACAACGAGCCCATGGATAGGAACTTGTCCCAATTTACAGATGAGAAAACAGAGGTACAGAATGTCCAAGAGAGCAAAGGGCCTGAACATGACCTAGTTGGGAGGTCCATGTTGAGGAGGTTGGGAGAGGAAATTGAGACAGTCAGCAGAAAAGAGGAAGCCTAGGCCACAGTCACATCATTACCCAAGGGCTAGGTAGGAGGGAGGGGCCAAGGACAAAGAGGATGTTCGTTTATGTTTCAGATTCTGCAGACAGGGCAACAAGCAGAAAGACTGAGGAAAAGAGCTCTGGAGGGGTCTCTGAACCTGTCAGTGGTGGGTGGGCGGGCATAGATGTTTGAGTATGTAGTTACATCAGTAAGTGGGGAGAGAGGGAGAAATCAAGTTCGGCGATTAGGAAAGAATGGTCAGTAAAGAATGAGAGTCACTGCTCACTGGGCGAAGCCCCATTTTGTAAGGATGAGAAACAAGATGGCATCAAGAGGGGCAACAATATCATAGGAAAGTTTCAGGTTTATTTTTCCAAAAATGGGGGTAACCTTAGGGGTACTGGAAAGTTGAGAGGGAGAGGTTACAAATGCTAGAGCCAAAGTGACTGTTCTGGAATTCTTTCCCAATTCTTTTCCCTAATCTCTGCCATCCTTCCTCTTCCCTCTGCATGCAGTCATCTGGGGATCTAGAGAATGACGAGCAGGCAGCCAGTGCCATCTCTGAGCTGGTCAGCACGGCCTGTGGTTTCCGGCTGCACCACAGCACGAGCATACCCTTCAAGCGCCTGTCGGGTGAGCCTCAGCCCCTGCCCCCCTGGTGGTGGTGGTGGGAGGGGGTGGGGGTTGCTCCCAGAAGCTTGTCTTCTCAGGGCTGGGGGGAGAAAATGGCTGTCTCCTGCCAACCTCCCACCATCTCCCCGTGGGGTCCCTGGTGCCTTTGGGATTCACCCCTGCATCAGAACTATGAGAAAGCAAGAGAGGGAAGGGGACGTAACGGAGCCCTCCTATCTTCAAATCTCTGAGCCTTGAACTATGGAATGCCTTTGGCTTTTGATCCCACCAGCTTGTGTGACCCTGTAGAGGCCGTTGTACCCCACTAACTCTGTGCTCCCTTCCCTCTCCCGGGCGGGGGAAGGTGTGTCTCCTTTCCAGTGGTCTTTGGAGAACACACGCTGCTGGTGACCGTGTCAGGACAGAGGGTATTTGTGGTGAAGAGGCAGAACCGAGGCCGGGAGCCTGTTGACGTCTGAGCCTGCCAGAGGGCAAGGGGCAGAGGTGGATTGGGTCCATGGGCCTCTGTGATGAGGAAGACGCAAACCTCCTCCACCTCTTTCTTGGCTTGCTGCTAGAACTAAGGCTTTCTGCTCACCCACTTCCCCACCCCTACCTGGAAGGGCAGAGGCTTGGGAACTTTCCACTGTGTCAAGGAGAGTGAGGGCAAGGGGATCTCCCTCTTCCCTCCCTCCCTCCTAATAAACATGAGTCTGATGTTCCCAGGCCCAGGGATGTGTGTATGAGAGAGTGTGACAGGGGAGGGATACACCCTAAGTCTGTCTTCTGTCTTCTAGGGAGACAGTCATGTATGTGGGCCCAGAGGGGTGGGGCAAAGCACCTGGGCATATAAAACTGGTAATCAGAGAATAGTATGGTAGGAAGGGAGCTGAGGGGAGCTACTTGGTGTGCATGAGCCCCTGGGGCCTCTGCTCCTGCCGCCAACACACAAACGAAAGTCATTCTTCTCCCTCCTGAACAGGCATTTAATAGTCTTATTTCAGTTGGAAGCAGTAGTTGGAGAATAAGTTACAGGAACAGACAGATCAAAAAAAAAAAAAAGAAAGAAAAAAGAAAAGAAAACCCCACACAACTTAAAGTGCTTCAGGCTGCAAACGTAAACATGAGGGGCAGGAGGAGGCCACCTGGCTATCTCCCCTTTCCCCGGAGACAGGAGGGTCATTGTCGGGGTCCCTTTACCATCACCACCCTCTAACCTCAGCCCTGCGGGTGGGTGGGAGGAGGCAGGGAGGGAATATCAGAGGCAGGAGGGACAACTTAATAGGAACAAGGAATACACTTTGTAAACTTAGAACCAGGGTACAGGGCGGGGGGCAAGGGAGCTCTTGGAGCCCCTGCCCTGGCCTCGGGGTGGGGCCAGCCCCCCCAGGGAGTCGGAGAAATACTGTTGGCTTAGGGCTGCAGCCATACCCGCCCACTTCACAGCTTCTTTCCTCGTCCCTCATCAGCAGACACAGACAGGCGGCCCTGTTGGGCCTCCTCATCCACGGTGGGAGGCATCCCAGGGGAGGCACAGTCTGGAGCGAGGACCCCCTCCAGGGGCTTTCGGTTTCTGGGAGTGTAAGAGGGAGGAGAGCCCACACGGTGCTACTTGACAGGCTCCACCACCAGGACCTTGCACTCACGCTTGGCAATCTTGTCCAGAGAAAGCACAGCCTTGTCCGGGGGCAGGTAGAGGGGGCGGCCCACAGGGGAGGCCACAGGGGGCGTGATGGCCCTGCGCTCCATCACGCTGCCCGACCTGGGGGAAGGCAGAGGCTGTGGGCTCCGGTCGGACCCCGGGGAACCTTTCCTGCTCGCGCTCCAACTCCGGCCTCTACTGAGTCCAGGGGCACCCCCTCCCATGTGTCCATACCTCATGAGGTGGCTGCGGGAGGGCTGTTGGTGAGAGAAGGACTGAGAGCGGCCCAGGCTGGCCTGGTGTCTCTCCACCAGGTCCCGGACAGCAGGGCTGCTGGGGCTGCTCTTTCGAGAGAGGGGCCGGGCCTCGGGCGGAGGGTGGGACACACTGGCCGTGAACTGCAGCTTCAGTTTCATGTGCTGGCTCAGCTGGAGCAGGGAGACACAAGTCAGCATTCCAGCTCGGCCTCCGGGCCCCAGCCTTCCTTTCCAATCAAGTTCCCCACTTGCCCTGCCAGTGTGGGATCGAAGTTCCACCTTCCCTCCACCCCCGCTGTTTAGTACCACCCGTGGTGTTTCGTCCACAGAGGCTGGTGGCTGA